ATGGTCTCAATCTCTTGACCTCGTGATCCACCCGCCTCGGCCTCCCAAAGTGCTGGGATTACAGGCGTGAGCCACCGTACCCGGCCAAAAATGGATTATTTATGAGGGTCTTTTTTTTTTTACAGACCTGCTTTATTCTAAAACTTATTTCCGGCAGTTGAGATAATATATTGAAAGTGTCTGGCACATAGTAACGGCTCAATAAAGCATCCATTTCCCCTCCCCTCCCTTCTTTCAGAGCAGTCATCTTTGAACCCAAGCCCCCCACTGCAAAGCACTACCATTACTTGAAACAATTCTGGAATTTTCTTGCAAGAAAACTGGCTCAGTTCTTTAGGGTGCCATCGTGTTTTAAATCTTAAAAAAAAAAAATTCTGACAACAAAAACAAATCACATCCTGCAAATTGCTCAACCCCTGTATTCATAACACAGAGCTTCAAATTACTTTTGGCCTTTTCCAAAAAATCAAACCCACCCTCAAAGGTCAAGGATTCACCACTGCCGAGGCTATTAAGAGGAAAACGCTGTGCGATCTGAAGCAATTTCCCAAGAAGAACTCATCAAGTTTGGAGCAAGCACAGCAGAACTGGAAGAAAGACATTGGCCCCCCCGCCCTGCCCCCACCTCCAGCTACGTTGTCCCTCGGGACACCTGAATTCCGACCTTGCTGCTCAGGGTCCCACTCTGTGGATTCCTTTCCCCAGTCTCTGGAGTAAGATCTGATTTTGCTGCCTCTGAGAAGTATGTGCCCAGGTGGAATTCACAGGCGCTGAGGGCTTGAGGGGAGGTGACCGGCAAGAGCTAGAGAGGACGACGTGGCCTTTACTCCATCCTTTATGTGGATAGTGAGGGGATTTCAGGGACAGTGGGGGAGCACAGCCGTGGCCGCCCCGTGCTGAGCCCACTGTGTTACCAAGGACCCTCCAACTTCCCAGCCAGAGACCACTTGGCCCTTCCTAGGGCGAAAGCAGGACGAATACGAATACGGCCCAAGGCCTGAATACCCTCGGCCTCATCCCCGATAGTCTCAATTCTCAGGTCAGAAAATGCCAAGGGGCTTGCTCCATCCCCTCCCTGTCAACTTGTGAGCTCATCAAACCCATAGTTTGGGAGCAGGATCTGCCCCTACCTAACTTCACAGAAGGCAGAAGACAATGAGTTCAGGTGAAGCTGCTGGGGTCAGCCACTGATGCTCCCTGTGACCTTGGCCCACACAACAGGCCCCGCTGCCTCCCACCTGCAAACCTCAGTTTCCTTCTCTAGGAAAGGGGACAGCACATACTTGGGTTGGGGGAAAGGTGGTTGAAAAGGAGGCTTAAATGATGGCCGGACGCAGTGCCTCATACCTGCATATAATCCCTGTACTTTGGGAAGCCAAGGTGGCAGGATCACTTGAGGCCAGGAGTTCAAGACCAATCTGGCCAACATAGCAAGATCCCATCTCTTAAAAAAAAACAAAAAACAAAAAACAGATGGGCCGGGCTTGGTGGCTCATGCCTGTAATCCCAGCACTTTGGGAGGCCGATGTGGGCAGATCACCTGAGGTCAGGTGTTTGAGATCAGCCTGACCAACATGGAGAAACCCTGTCTTTACTAAAAATATATATATATAAAATTAGCTGGGCATGGTGGCCTGCGCCTGTAATCTCAGCTACTTGGGAGGCCAAGGCAGGAGAATCACTTGAACCTGGAGGCAGAGGTTGTAGTGGTGAGCTGAGATCTCGCCATTGTACTCCAGCCTGAGTGACAAAAGCAAAACTCCATCTCACCAAAAAAAAAAGATGAAATGAGATGACAGAGGCCCTCAACAGATGGCCACAAATATTCCCAAGTCCCTGTGTCTGGAGTGTGTGGTTCCCCTGCACTTACAGGGGGCCTGGGACCTGGGACTGCTCAGAGCCCACAGTGATAAAATGAGCCTCTGAGGCCCCTGCCACCCACTGAGCCCTCACTGTAAAAGGTAGGCATGGGGCTGGGCGGGGGCTCATGCCTGTAATCCCGGCACTTTGGGAGGCCGAGGCAGGTGCATCACCTGAGGTCAAGAGTTCCAGATCAGCCTGACCAACATGGTGAAACTCTGTCTCTACTAAAAATACAAAAATTAGCTGGGCATGCTGGTGGGCAGGTGTCATCCCACCACCCATCCCACCACACCTAGTGTCATTGGGAGGCTGAGGCAGGAGAATCACTTGAACCTAGGAGGCACAGGTTGCAGTGAGCTGAGATCGTGCCATTGCACTCCAGCCTGGGTGATAAGAGCGACACTCCATCTCAAAAAAAAAAAAAAAAGGTAGCCACGGGCAGGGGAGCCTCGACAGCCAGGAGGGCCTAAGCGTCACTCTGCAAAGACCTTTGTCCTTCGCTCACTCTCCTCGTCCTCATAGGGCTCATCCTCATGCCCCAGATGAGGAGCTGAGTCTCACTGTCGCTGGAAGTCCCACCTGCCAGAAGGCGGTCCAGCACCATGGTTCTGCCCAGCACTATGCGCTGAGGGGATGCCCGTGTCATTATCATCCCGCAGATGCTTGCTGCAAGATCTACCACCTAAGATAAACAAGTCCTTATCTTCTTGTTAATTGGTTCAAATCGATTGACCCTATAAGTGGGTCTAATGTACAGCTGGTGAAAGATGGCCTGTATGCCAAGCAACCCATGCACTCAACTAGCTGTCGCTCAAGCACAGAATAAGGCATATTAACCTAAATCTCTCAGACCACCCTCTCCTGAGAGGCTGCAAAGCCAGTGTCTCCCCTATTGGGCTAACATTTGCTGGGTCAACAGGCCTGCTTAGAGGCACCTGTGTGCTATTAGGCGCGTGGTGATAACACTAGTGGAGGTTTCTTGGAGAGGCGAGGGGTGCTGAGCCTGTGACAAGCACCCCTGGGCCCTGTCCTGCCCTGGCTCAGGCTGCCTGGCAGAAGGGGCTGAGTCCTGAGTGTTGGCAGGGGAGGCACAGGAAGGCAGTTTTCCTGGTGCTCTCATGATCTGCCTTCCACTTGCCTTTTGATCTGTTTCCTTCCTCAGCCTTCTCCCAGGAAAGCCTGAATCCATCTCATTGAACCCACCTCTGAGGCCGGGTCAACTGCTGCTTTCCAGGTGGGAGATGATGTTGAGTCTTTTGTCACTGCCAGTGTCTGAAATAGTCCAGAAACTGGTAAAGACAACAGACACCAGGAGATGGCCTAAAAATCTTGGCCAGAGTACGGGTGAACAGCAGCTCTCCCCACTCCCCTCCCTGCCCCCAAGGTCCCCCTGCAGAGGGCTGGCTGCTGCCCCTCCCCACCAGAAGCGGCCACCTACCCCCAACTTTTTTCTGCTCTATTAATAAACCTCGACTGAGATCCTCCCAAGCCCCCTCCTCTGGATTTGATCCTCACTGCCTCTCCTTATCAGCCTTGCTTTTCACAAGCACTTAAATTCATGGAAAAAGGGAAAAAGGGAAATCAGATAGAAATACAGGTCTGTTTGCTGTTTTCTCCAATGAAATGGTTCTGGGTAAACAGCAGACGCCTTTGATGAAATCCCAGCAGGCTTAAACAATAAAGCTGGTTACAAACTCAATCTGGCGGAGATATGAGATCTGAAATTGTTTCAAAAAACATGTCAACATTTTCTAATGCTCCTAAAAAAAACCTTCCTGGGCTGCCCACTGGAGTCTGGGTCATGGAGACAGGACGGGGGCCACCGCAGCCTCTGCCCCCAGCCCACTGGGACTCTGTGCACCAAGAGCCCAGGAGCAGCCTGTCTCTGCCTGCTGAGGCCCTGCCTGCTGCAGATGTGTAAATGGCCACTTCAGAGTCATGACCCAAGCCAGGCAGGGGACCAGCGTCCCTTGTGTACACCACTGCACCATCTCCCCAAATCAATGTGGCCCCCCCCTTAACTATCTTTCATTTTCCACGCTGCAGCCAGCAGAGGCTTTTAAACATGTAAATCAGATCATGTCATTCCTTTGCTTAAAACCTCTAATGCATTCACACTGCACTTAGGAGAAAATCCAAACTCCTCCCACGGCCTGCAAGACCTTCAGGGGCCTGCAGCTCACGACCTACTTCCTCACTCACTGCACTCAACCTGCCTGGCGGTCTTCCCACATTATTATCTCCTGCCCCTGGGCCTTTGCACTTCCCTGTAAACGTTGCCTGGGATGCTGTTACCCCAACCTACCGTCACCAGTCAGCTCCAGGACCACCCTAGCTGATGTGGCTCCTCTCTCACGTTTCAGTTTTATTCTCTACACTAAGTCTAACCACGATCGGAAATCATCGCATGTGTTTATTTATTCATTTATTTTGAGATGGAGTCTTGCTCTGTCGCCCAGGCTGGAGTGCAGTGGCACGATTTGGCTCACTGTAACCCCTGCCTTCTGGGTTCAAGTGATTCTCCTGCCTCAGCCTCCCGGGGAGCTAGCACTACAGGCGCATGCCACTACACCCGGCTAATTTTTTGTATTTTTAGTAGAGATGGGATTTCACCGTGTTGGCCAGGATAGTCTCGATCTCCTGACCTAATGATCCAACCGCCTGGGCCTCCCAAAGTGCTGGGATTACAGGCGCGAGCCACTGCGCAGGGCCTGTTTACTTAGTAACTACTGCTCTTTGGAACACAATCCCTCTGCAGGTCTGAACGTCTGTCTGGTAGCAGACCCTGTGCTGGCACAGGGTAAGTGTTCAGTCATTACCCACTGCATGCATGAATGAGTAGTGAGAATGTCATCGCCCCTCTAGGGATCCCCCAGGCAATGCCCAGGAAGTCTAGAGCACCACCAGAACACGACCGGATTCCCACTCCGAGGTACAGGAACACCTTGCCAGCCTCTCTCTAGGGTCCCCTGTTCGCCCCTGCCCCACCCAGGCCTCACCCAGGCCTCTGCCGGCTTTTGGCCACTAGGCGTGGGAGGTCCGGACTGAGCGGGGGCTGGAAGGTCCCCGCCCCCTTCACTGCCCTCCCCCGGGCCCGCACCCCGCTGGCCTCCCCACCCCCTCCTGACCCAGCTCACAGGCCTCTGAGAAGGGAGGTGGGCACCGCCAGGCTGGTAGGGGCTGGCACGCTCCTCGCAGGCCTTCTTGGGAAAGCGTGGGCGCAGGTGCCTTCCGTTGGGCTCCTGGGTCTGGGGCCTAGGGGCGGACGGCGATGTCCCGCGCAGGGTGCAGGTCTCCCCACCCCACCCCGCCCCAGGCCGCGATCGATCCCCGCCTCTCACGGCCTCATTACCGAGGAGAGCTGCCGGGGCTGGCAAGGGAGCCAGACGGCGGCGGAGGGGGCGGGGAGGCCTCCTTGGCTCCCTGGCCCGGATTAAATATTTACTATGTTTTGTTTGGCCTTTGGGGGAGGGGCGGGGAGGGCTGTCGCATTGATTCGGAGCTGCTGGGCGAGGCCGGTGGCCTGGCCTGGGGCGAGGACGGTGGCCAGACCGGCGCCCGGAGCCTCCCGCTGGCCAACCCCAGCCCAGAGCGCCCCGGGGGCACCGGCCCCGCCCAGGAGGGGACGTCTTGCTCCAGAGCCGGGGGACGAGGGGGGGCGCGCCGACAGGTCGGGGTGACTGCGCTGGGATCCGCGGCCCACACTGGAGTCTGTTCCCTCTCCCCGGAGCCGACAGATCGGGGTGACTGCCCCGGGGTCCGTTCCCTTTCGCGGAAGCCGCCAGCCGGGGGTCTGCGGTCCCCACGCGCCCCGCCCGGGCCGGCCACGGCTGCCCAGCGCACAGTCACCGCCAGATGCCAGACGGCTTCCTGTGCCCACTGTACAGACCTGAACTCCGAGGCCGAGAGAGGGGGATGCGGGGCCAGCTCGCCTCCGCCCCGGGCTCGCCAGAATTTGGCCTCCGAGGTCGCCGTGGCGCGTTCCTGCCCAAGCCGGAGCTGTGGGAGCGCCCGGACGCCGCTAGCCTCGAAGCAGACACAGGGGAGACGGGCGGCCTCGCGCGCGGGGGAACCCCGGGGTGGGGTGGGGCTCTGCGAGTGCCCTAAAAACGCCTGCTTCGGGGGCGTTTGACGCGCTCAAGACCCCCCGGAGCCCCTTTATTCTCTGCGCGCTCATCCCACCAGCAGAAGAGCGCCGTGCGGGGCAGAGCGCGCCACGGACACGGGCCCTGCCCTCACTGAGGGTTCCAGTCCGCTGTGCACAAATGAAGAGCTGCACTCCCCTCCCTGCACTAGGACACATCCTCTCACACAGGGCGAGGACCACGCCACAGGCCACTTACAGGGGTGTTCACTCGTCCCAGAGAGCCGCTTACATCAGGGTCTACACGCGACACAGGCGTGCTCTCACACACACACGGACACACACACTGCACTGTATGTGTGCTCATCATAGAAGCACACACGCAGGCCGGGTGCGGTGGCTCACGCCTGTAATCCCAGGACTTTGGGAGGTCGGGGAGGGCAAATCACATGATCAAGAGTTCGAGACCAGCCTGGCCAACATGGTGAACCCCGTCTCTACTAAGAATACAAAAATTAGACAGACATGGTGGCGCGTGCCTGTAATCCCTGCTACTCGGGAGGCTGAGGCAGGAGAATTGCTTGAACCCAGGAGGTGAAGGTTGCAGTGATCCGAGGTCGCCCCATTGCACTCCAGCCTGGGCGACAGAGCAAGACTCCATCTCAGAAACACACACACATGAACCGCACCATCCCTATCCACGTGTGTGCACATGCAGTTCCCAACAATCATACACAAAGAGCTGTTCAACTGCCACCCCCGTCACGTCGGTGTACGTGCACGCACACAGAACTACCCAGCCTCCTCTTCCTGTCCCTGCACACACGCACAAATATACACCACAGTGCCCACTCCCTACACGTTTCCCCCGACACACACACAGGAACACACTCTCTCGTGCTGACTGCGGGCGGCTGGGCTGCAGCCTCCAGCCTTGCTCCTATTTAAAGAGAAGCATTGCTGGAAAAGGAACAAAAGCAAAGCCAGCTATAAATAGCCACCTCCCTCCCGGCTTTTCCTGCCCTCCGGCCTCACGGCCTTGCCTTGCCTCTCCTCTCCTCTCCTGCCTAGGGAGGGCCCAGAGCAGCCCGGGCAGGCCCGTCCTTGGGGCCTGGCAGTGGGGCCTGGAGGCCAGGTGGCCAAGTGCCCACCACTGGTCAGGCCAGGGGCCCTGGGTCTGGATGGCTCTGGGGGCGCAGGCTGGCCACCTGCAGCCAGTCGTGTGTGCCTGTACCCAGCACTGAGGGAGGGAAGCCCGCTTGGCCAGGGCTGCTGCCTCAGCAGAACTGCTAAGGCTGGCAGCCGCGTCCGGGAACAGGTGGGTCTGCCAAGCACCAGCCACCGCTGCCCCAGGTGTCCCTCCCCAGCCCGACCAGGCCTTTCCTGGTTTGGTTCCTGGGGCCCAGAGCCAAGGATACTGGGTGCTTGTCAGGAAGCAGGATGGGGCAGAGGAAAGAATCTCAGGACAGGAGAGGACACAAAGTCCTACTTTGGGTTCCAGTTCTGTTTGTGTGTGTGTGTGTGTGTGTGTGTGTGTGTGTGTGAGACAATCTCACTCTGTTGCCCAGGCTGGAGTGCAGTGGCATGATCTCAGCTCACTGCTACCTCCACCTCCTGGGTTCAAGCCATTCTCGAGTCTCAGCCTCTCGAGCAGCTGGGATCACAGGTGCGTGCTACCATGTCTGGCTAAGTTTTATTTATTTATTTTTGTGATGGAGTCTTGTGCTTGTCCGCCAGGCTGGAGTGCAGTGGCATGATCTCGGTTCACTGCAACCTCTGCCTCCCACGTTCAAGCGATTCTCCTGCCTCAGCCTCCTGAGAAGCTGAGACTATAGGCGGCCACCATCAAGCCCAGCTAATTTTTGTATTTTTAGCAGAGATGGGTTTTCACTATGTTGGCCAGGTTGGTCTCGAACTTCTGACCTCAAGTGATCCACCTGCCTCAGCCTCCAAAGGGCTGGGATTACAGGCGTGAGCTATGGCGCCAGGCCAGTACTTTTATTTATTTATTTATTTAGAGACTGAGTTTCGCTCTTGTTGCCCAGGCTGGTGTGCAATAGTGCAATCTCAGCTCACTACAACCTCTGCCTCATGGGTTCAAGTGATTCTTCTGTCTCAACCTCCTGAGTAACTGGGATTAGAGGTGCATGCCACCATCTCAGGCTAATTTTTAGTAGAGACCAGGTTTCACCATGTTGGCCAGGCTAGTCTTGAACTCCCGACCTCAGGTGATCCGCCCACCTGAGCCTCCCAAAGTGGTAGGATAACAGGTGCGCACCACTGTACCTGGCGGGGTTCCGGTTCTGTTACCTATGGGTCCAGCAGCCTTTGGCAAGGCTCCGAGTCATACCACCCAGCCTCACCTTCAACCCCTCTTGGAGGGATGGTGGGAACACTGTGAAAGCAGCTGAGCCTGGCAGGCCTTTGTGAGCTGTGGAGATGGAATAGGAGAGGTGACAGCTGCCCTCTGTCTCAGAATGATTTGATCAAGATAACAATAATAATGTTTTTCATTTACTTTGTTTTGTTTTTTTTTTGTAGAGACGATGTCTCGCTATGTTGCCCAGGCTGGCATTGAACTCCTGGGTTCAAGTGATCCTCCCCTCTCAGCCTCCCGAAGCCACCTGGGATTGCAGGTGTTAGCTCCCACGCCTGGCCTTCCATCTGCTTTGTATTTTCCACGTGCCAGACACGGGACTATCTTTAGCTTACTTCTTCCTCTGTGAAGCAGGCTATTTATATTCCCATTTTCCCGTTGAAGAAACTGAGACTCAAGTGCTTGTTCCAAGGTCACACGGTCCCCTGAAGCACAGAGCCATGTGGCAAGGTAGACCTGGGCCTGTCTGAGACAAGGGCCTCCTCCCTCTGTCCTGCACTTTGGGATAGGGGAGCTTGGTTCTGGAGTAGCCTCTCCTCAACAGCCAGTGGAGACCTGGGCTGGGCTAGGCTGCCTCCCCCGCGACTAGACGGGCTTCAGGAAGGGATGACTACGGGATCCTCCCCTCCTGAGGTGTGGCATCAGTCTGAGGGGCCTCTTCACTTCAGCCCTGGGGGAGGGGAGAGGGGGGAGGGAGTCAGGGAGAGTCAGGGAGAGTCAGGGAGGTGGGGAGGGAGTCAGGGAGAGTCAGGGGGAGGGGGGAGGGAGTCAGGGAGACTCAGGGAGAGGGGGGAGGGAGTCAGGGAGAGTCAGGGAGAGGGGGAGGGAGTCAGGGAGAGTCAGGGGGAGGGGAGAGGGGGGAGGGAGTCAGGGAGAGTCAGGCAGACCTACTTTCAAGGCTTTAATCCTTTTTGCTTAAAGGATTTTTTTTTTGCTTGGGGAAGACTTGGTCTGATCAGAGGAGAGACTCAGGGAGCTGACAAGCTTCGGAGGATGGTGGCTGGTGAGGAGAAAGAAATACATATTTATTACCCTCAATTATTAAAAAAATAGTACGAGATTCTTAGGTCCTGGCACACACTGCAGGGGCAAGGGTGTAAAGACGGTCTTCCTTCCTTCCCTCCCTCCCTCCTTCCCTCCTCCCTTCCTTCCTTCCTTCCTTCCCTCCCTCCCTCCTTCCCTCCTCCCTTCCTTCCTTCCCTCCCTCCCTCCTTTCCTCCTCCCTTCCTTCCTTCCTTCCCTCCCTCCTTCCTTTCCTCCCTCCCTCCTTTCTTCCCTCCCTCCCTCCTTCCTTCCTTCCCTCCCTCCCTCCTTCCTTCCTTCCCTCCCTCCCTCCTTCCCTCCTTCCTTCCTCCTCTCTCCCCCCACCCCCCCACTGAGATTGTGACATAGCTAGCTCATTAGTAAAAACACTCTAGCCAGTTCCTAGTGGGGGCTGGAGGAAAGTTAGGTCCCCTGAAGGAGGCAGGGCCAGCAGCCAGGGTACTCCATACCCCAGCTACCAGGAGGGGCCCAGACCCAAACTCGGCGGTGAGGGTGGGACAGGAAGGATTGGTGCCCCCCGTTTTGGGCTGCACAGGCTGGGCCTGAGGCGGGCGTGTCGCCTCAGCTATTTTTTTATGTACTGGAGCTCTCTGAGGACAAACCCTCCACCAGTAACCGGCCTTCCCCTGTGTTGCTGTTCTTTTCAAGGAAGTGTCAAGAGAGAAATTGATTCCAGCTTTCTCTGTGGAGGAGGTGACAGCTTTCGCCCCAGGCTTCTGAGGGTTTCACCTGGGGGCACTGCCAGCATCCAGAGCACACCCGTATCATCCCAGGGACTGGATCTGCCTGCTGAAAGGGGGCAGGCATAAGCGAGGTGCAAAGATGCCAAGGCACCCTACGAGGGTCCCGAAGCCCTTCGCTATCTGAGCCCGCAGGCTGCAAACAGGCGGGTCACATCCACAGCTGCGTTTGTTGTGAATCCTAAACCGGGGCAAGGCAAGAGGGATCTACAGTGATGACAAAGCCAGGGAGGCAAGCCCACCCGGAAGACGACTGTGGCTTTCGTTTCGGTCCCCAGAGTCCCCTGAGAGCCTGGCGCCAAGAGTCACAGAGGACAGTGACGCAGATGGAACAGCAGCGGTGGCTCACCGAGGCCTTGCTCCACGACAGCCACTTTGTCACACATTCTCAAAGCCACAGAAGGCAGGTGGCATTAACCCCACTTTTCAGATGACAAAACTGAGGTCAGAAGGACTTAAAGCATCTGCCCAGGGTCAGGCAGCTAGTAAACCGCAAAGCCAGGGCCTGAGTCCCACCTGCCTGGCTCCACAGCCCCTGCCCGTCTGCTTGGTGCAATCTACGGAAGCAGCAGGAAAACCTAAGCAGACCAGCGTTAGCTTCGAGAGAAACCAAGCAAGAAAAAATGTCTTGGCCAGGTGGGGCGGCTCATGCCTGTAATCCCAGCACTTTGGGAGGCTGAGGTGAGTGGATCACTTGGAGTTCGAGACCAGCCTGGGCAACATGGCAAAACTCTACTACTCAAAATACAAAACTTAGCCAGGAGTGGTGGCAGGCACCTGTAGTCCCAGCTACTCAGGAGGCTGAGGCAGGAGAATTGCTTGAACCCGGAAGGCGAAGGTTACAGTGAGCTGAGATCGCACCACTGCACTCTGGCCTGGGCCACAGAGAGAGACCCTGCCTCAAATACATAAAACAAAACAAAGAAGCAGTGACTATTTTGCAGGCCAGAAGACGGAGCCACTGGGCTGGGGCTGGGTTTCCTCTTCCAATCATGCAGACCCTGTTTCAGAGATGAGGAGGAAGTGGCTGATGATGCTCCAGGCTGCCAACTGCCAGTTGTTGGATGCCGTGCCAGTTTTCTGGGAAGCCTTCACCCTCCTCTCACTTTTCCAAGCCAATGAAAACCACTTTAAAATGCTTTCTACAGCTCCGCCTGCACTGCCTTAGGGAACTTCTCCCTGGCCCTGGACAGAGAGGGCAGAGGGTTCAGGATAGAGGGAGGAGAGTCCTTGGCAAACAGGGTGGCTCCTCCACTCTAGGCAACCTGTCCCTGCTGGTCTTGAGTTTCCTGCCCCTGGCCAGAGCTGGCATATGTCGGTCCTGATCACTCACACAGCTCTGGAGGCAGAGGCAGAACTTGGAAGGGCGGTGGGATGATGGCAGGAGTGAGGCTGGTGCAGGAAGCTTGCTGGGCATGCTGGGAAAGAGGTCAGTGCCACTACAAGCGGTAGGAATGGCCATGTTCACGGAGCTCCTGTTCTGGGTCAGGCCATAAGAAAGTGCCAAGAGCTTTTTACATCTTTATTTATTTGTTTGCTTGTTTATTTTTCGGAAAGGGTCTGGCTCTGTTGCCGAGGCTGGAGTGCAGTGGCATGATCTTAGCTCATGATAGCCTTGACCTCCTGGGCTCACGTGATTCTGCTACCTCAGCCTCTCCAGTAGCTGGGACCACAGGTGCACACTACCACACTCTGCTAATGTTCTTCACGTTTTGTGGACGCCGGGTCTCACTGTGTTGTCCAGGCTGTTCTCAAACTCCTGGGCTCAAGTGATCGTCCTCTGGCCTCCCAAAGTGCTGAGATTACAGGTATGAGCCACCCCATCTAGCCGCCGAGAGCTTTATAAGCATTCTTATTTAATCTTCACAACTCTACAAGATAGGTAGTATTATCAGGCCCATTTTACAGATGAACACAAGTCTAAAGAAAAAAGTAGGGCCGGGCACGGTGGCTCACACCTGTAATCCCAGCACTTTGGAAGGCCAAGGTGGGTGGATCACAAGGTCAAGAGAGCGAGACCATCCTGGTCAACACGGTGAAACCGTCTCTACTAAAAATACAAAATATTAGCTGGGCATGGTGGTGCGGGCCTGTAATCCCAGTTACTCAGGAGGCTGAGGCAGGAGAATTGCCTGAACCCAGGAGGCAGAGGTTGCCTGGCCGAGATCACGCCATTGCACTCCAGCCTGGGTAACAAGAGCAAAACTCTGTCTCAAAAAAAAAAAAAAAAAAAAAGAAAAAAGTAATTCCTAGGATTTCAACCCAGCTCTGGCTTAACCACTCCACTCACAGGTGAAGGCTTGGCCACTGACCCTTGGAATTAGGCCCTCCCTACCAAGCCCTTTCCTCCAATGAGAAGGAAGCCTCCATTGAGCAAGGACAGCCACTAGTATATCCAGAGAGGCCACAGGGCTCATGGCTGCAGTGGTGGCGCACACTTGTGGTTCCAACTACTCTGGAGGCTGAGGCGGGAGGATTGCCTGAGCCCAGGAGGTTGAGGCTGCAGTGAGCCAGGATCGCAGTACCGCACTCCAGCCTGGGAAACAGAGCAAGACCACATCTCCTTCTTTTTCTCCTTTTTTCCTTTCCTTTTTTTCTTTTAATAAGCAGGGGAAGGGGAATTAGGAATGTCATATTTGGGTGACGTTTGCAATTTTTTTTTTTTTTTTTTTTTTTGGCAACAAAGTCTTGCTCTGTGGCTCAGGCTGGAGTACAATGGCGCAATCTTGGCTCACTGTAATTTCCATCTCCCAGGTTCAGGCAATTCTCAGCATCCGGAGTAGCTGGGATTACAGGAATACGCCACAATGCCCAGCTAACTTTTTTTGTATTTTTAGTAGAGACAGGGTTCCTCCATGTTGGCCAGACTGGTCTCCAACTTCTGACCTCATACAAGCCACCCACCTCAGCTTCCCAAAGTGTTGCGATTACAGGCATATACCACCTCATACAGCTTTTTTTTTTTCTTTGAGACAGGGTTTTTGTTCAGTCACCCAGGCTGCAGTGCAGTGGTGCAATCATGGCTCACTGCAGCCTTGGCCTCCCAGACTCAAGGGATCCTCCTACCTCAGTCTTCTGAGCAGCTGGGACTAAAGGTGCATGCCACTATACCAGGCCAGTGTTTTGTATTTTTAGTAGAGATGAGGTCTCGCTATGTTGTCCAGGCTGGTCTCCTAGCTTCAAGCAATCCTCCTGCCTCAGCCTCCCAAAATGCTGGGATTATAGGCATGAGCCACCATACCCGGCCAAGTTTTTTGTTTTGTTTTGTTTTGAGACAATCTCTTGCTCTGTTGCCCAGGCTGGAGTGTAGTGGTGCGATCTCGGCTCACTGCAACTTCCGCCTCCTGGGTTCAAGTGATTCCTGTGCCTCAGCCTCCCGAGTAGCTAGAATTACAGGCCCATGCCACAACACCGGGCTAATTTTTGCATTTTTTCAATAGAGATGATGTTTCACCATGTTGCCTGGTCTCGAACTCCTGGCCTCAAAAGATTCACCTGCCTCGACCTCCCAAAGTGTCAGATTACAAGTGTGAGTCACTGTACCTGACCTTTTTTTTGTTTGTTTAATGTGGGCTCAGCGGGGTAGAGGTACAGGAAGAGGTTGGCGATGGGGCCCTGGAAAGATGGAGGGTGTTTCCCACCGTGCTCTGTGGGACAGGCTGGCTGAACACTTCCAGTGCTGTGTGACGTTGCACAAGCCACCATGCCTCCCTGAGCTCCAATTTTCTCAGCTATAAGGTCCCTTCTAGTGCCACAGTTGAAAGAGTCTACAAATACGTCAAAATCACACAAATGCCCTGGCCCAAATCAGAAGCGAGGGGCAGGCTCCTCCTCACACTCCAGCCTCAGTTTCCTGATGCCATAAGCCACCCAATCCCAAAGAAAACGAATGGCTCTGTACACTTTCCTCCTTTGGCTCACCCACAGTCAGCTTCACTGGAGACCTAGGCCATGTTCACGGTCCCAACACACACACACACCTCACTCACACTCACACCTCACTCACACTCACACACTCTCTCTCTCTCTCCCTCTCCAAATAATTGAATGATAATAATTCAAGTCCCGTCTGGCTCCTTGGGGTTGTGCCAATGGATGTCAGTGACTCTGGCTCTGGCCTCCACCCACCCAGGTCCCTGTGAAGGCCTTGGCCTCTCATCCTGCTCCCGTGCCTCTGCTCAGAAACTCACAAAGTGGGTAGGCCAGGCTGCCAGATGTTGGCTGTGGCATGGTCTCCAACAGTGGTCTTGCCAACTGAGGGTGCTGGCAGATCTAAAACGGAGCATTTTGCAGCCATTAAAACTGAGGCTTGGCCAGGCATGGTGGCTCACACCCGTAATCCCAGCACTTCGGGAGGCCGAGGCGGTTGGATCACAAGGTCAGAAGT